CCCCCCTTTCCCATCCCCCTGTCACCACGTCCAAGGTGTCAGCATCCCCCTTCTTTTCCTTCCCTCCTCTTCCAGCTCTCTTTCCAACCCCGCTGCAATTCCCCCATCCCATCCCTCACCCCCCCCACCACCCCCACCCAGACGTTGCATCCCAAAGAGATAAAGTCCAGCAAAGTTCTGGGCTTCCTATCACTGCTTTGGGGCAATCTCATGACCATCTTTGCCATCACTTCTCCTACAGAAGCCCACCCATGCCAGGTGCCCCTGTCCCTGATACCGGAGCATCTTCCCCCTTCCCTGCTTCCCTCTCCTCTTCTCCCACATCCACAAATCCCTCCAGAGCTTTTCCAAAGCTCGACTGGAAACGCATTGGACAAATTCAGGAAGCTGGGCTAGGAACAAACATCATGAGGGCAAGACAAGCACCGACATGGGGGGGGGGGTAGAAACGGGGGGGACACAACACTAGAACCACCCACCAGGCAGAGCTGAGCGGGGCTGGAGCTACCGAGCCTGAAATCCAACCCAAAAAAGCCTTTTTCTGCCTTGAAACTGCAGCTGGGGTTTGCTGGGACCCCCTGCACGTCCCTGCCTGCGTAAGACAGGGAACCCCGAGGGTGGAGGGGGGTGGGTGGGTGCTGCACAGACCTGAAAGCACAAACCCACCCTGAGGGGTGGCAGGAGCAGCAGGACCCCTGGGAACAGGGACACGGCTCCCACACGATCGGAACGTTGTGGTGTCAGGACGTGGGGTTTTTTTTCCTTCCTTGCACCATCTCCAAGAACATTCCACGAGAAGAGGGTGTCCCCGGGGCTGCTCTAGTTCCTCATCCAAGGAATTCCACCCATCACAACGATATCAAAAGACAATGGTGTCAAACCCTCATGGGATCAAGCGGTAACGGCGCCGAACAGTGTCGAATAATAATAATAATAATAATCAATAATCATATAAAATAATGATGATATAAAATGATCAGAAATAAGAATGGTTGAAGATGATCATGGTCTAAAATAATTATATACATTAATACTGTTATAAAGTAATAATGGTCTAAAATGATCATGATGTAAAATAAGAACTGAGCCGAGGTGCTGCAGTACCCGTGTAACCCAAGGAGAAGGAGACTTGTTGGGTACTGAGATGTTCCCAGCAGGACACATCCCACCCAGGTTGGACAAGGGTCTGAATATGACAAAACCCACCTCCAAGGGCATTAAGGAATGAAGGGGATAAGCACTTTATCCTCTCCCAGCTTCTTTTTCCTGCCTTCCCTTCTCCAGGCCCTTCCAACGGCACCTGGCTCAACTCCACCACCAGCCAGGGCCACTTCCTGAGGGAGAACTTCACCTTCTCAGCATACTACCAGCACTCCTCCCCCGTGGCTGCCATGTTCATCCTGGCCTACACCTTCATCTTCCTCATGTGCATGGTCGGGAACTGCCTGGTGTGCTTCATCGTGGTGAAGAACCGCCAGATGCGGACGGTCACCAACATGTTCATCCTCAACCTGGCCATCAGCGACCTGCTGGTGGGCATCTTCTGCATGCCCACCACTCTGGTGGACAACCTCATCACAGGTGGGCAGAGGAGGGGAGAGATGCAAGGGTGGGGAGAAGGAGAGGTGGTGGGGAGCAACACCCACCTCCTGCCACCCACGCACAGAGCCAAGCTGTGTGTGCTTTGTTGCTGTGAGGAGCACAGGTGGTGTCCACTCAGCTAACACCTGATGAAAGGTGTCATTTCATTTAGACCTACCCCTTTAGGGGGCAAAACCTCTTTTTTGTTTGTTTGTTTGTTCGAGGTTTCGGACATCTTTTGGCCAAATAAGTAGGACCTTAGTGCTGCATTTACATATTGATTCCAAGTTCAGCAATCCTTTGAGGAGCAGCACTGATAAAACCCTTCTTGCATCCATTTCCTCCACCCTGGCTCTGCCCTGCCCGTTGTCCTTCCAAAGATAAACCATCAGCACAACTCCTGGAACATAGCCAAGGGCAGAGTCTGTATTTATTAATTTATTATGGGGTGTGATTTATTTAATCACCAACATCTTGGGGTCACGAAACAAGAACAAAGCTCTTCTGATGGAGGATCCCAAGGTCCACCCCTCTGATAACAGCCCAAGCCCTGCAATGAGGGTAAGAGACATGACAACCACGTCATTCCTTGAGTTTCTAAGAAGTGTGATAGGCATCTTTTTTACCAATTTGGGGGTTTTTGGGGACGGTTAAAGGCCACCTCTCTATGAGCCAAAAATGCAGCAGCTCCTGAGGAGCAGGATTTAGCATCTCACAGCTTCAACACGATGGGTGGGTCATCAAGAGAGAGCTGCTGATCACAGAATCATGGAATCATTAAGGAAGGGGCCTGAAAGACCATCCAGCTCCAACCCCCCTGCCATGAGCAGGGAACCACCAGACCAGGTTGCACAAAACCTCATCCAACCTGGCCTGAAAAACCTCCAAGGATGGGGCATCAACAGCCTCCCTGGGCAACACATCCTGGTTCCTCACCACCCTGAGAGTGAAGAATTTCTTCCTAATATCTCACTGAAATCTCCCCTCTCTTAGTTTAAAACCATCCCCCCTGGTCCTACCACCATCTTCTCTGAGGGAACCAGCCCAGCACACTCCAACCTCCATGGTGTCCCCTTGCAGGTTGGCCCTTTGACAATGCCATGTGCAAGATGAGTGGCCTGGTGCAGGGCATGTCTGTCTCCGCCTCCGTTTTCACCCTGGTGGCCATCGCCGTGGAGAGGTATGTTGGCCCTGGGGATGTGGGGACATGGGGGACAAGTCACCCTCCAGTGTGTCCAGGTCTCCTGTGCAGTTTCCCTCTCCAGAAAGCTCCTGGGGGACATCAGGAGTACGCCCCAGCTCTCCAAGTGAATCACAAAGCTGTCCACGCAGCATCCCGACAAGGTGTCCATCCCAACAAGGTGTCCTTCCTCACCTTGGGCTGAAAACACCAAAGCTGGAGAGATCCCAACCTATCTCTGACATCAAAAACCACATATAAAGAGCAACCCACCTTCCCTTCCTTCCCACCCCCGGGTCCTGCCCACCCTCCTTTCCCCAGGGATGTGCCAGCAGGTGCCCAAAACCACCACCAACCACCTGTCCTCCTCCAGGTTTCGCTGCATCGTGCACCCCTTCCGGCAGAAGCTGACCCTGAGGAAAGCCCTGGTGACCATCGCCATCATCTGGCTGCTGGCCCTGCTCATCATGTGCCCCGCTGCCGTCACCCTGACCGTTACCAGGGAGGAGCACCACTTCATGCTGGACACCTACAACAACTCCTACCCTCTCTACTCCTGTTGGGAGGCCTGGCCCGAGACGGGGATGAGGAGGATCTACACCACCGTCCTCTTCTCCCACATCTACGTGGGGCCCCTGGCCCTCATCATCGTCATGTACGCTCGCATTGCCTTCAAGCTCTTCAAGTCAGCAGCCCCAGCCCGGGACCAAGAGGAACCGGAGGGAAGGAGGGTCTCCAGGAGAAAGGCCAAGGTCATCAACATGCTCATCATTGTCGCCCTCTTCTTCACCCTCTCCTGGCTGCCACTCTGGACGCTGATGCTGCTGACAGACTACGGGCAGCTGAGCCAGGCCCAGCTCCACCTGCTCACCGTCTACGTCTTCCCCTTTGCCCACTGGTTGGCCTTCTTCAACAGCAGCGCCAACCCCATCATCTACGGCTACTTCAACGAGAACTTCCGACGGGGCTTCCAGGAGGCCTTCAGGACCCCTTTCTGCTCACCCCGCTGCCACCCTGGGCCCTACACCCCCAGGACCCACAGCCACGGGATCTTCTTCAGTGCCCGCAACCGCGTCTTCACCCAGGCCCAGCCCAGCCCCTCGCCCCCCGCCTCCGAGTCGGGGCCCTCGGCGTCACGTCGCGCCTGGGACACCTGAGCAGCCCCAGCCCCCGGGCACCTCTGGACCAAGGGGGTTTTGTGGGGTGGGGAGTGGGGATTCACCAGGCTGGGGGCCCTGAGACACAGAAATAAAGGCATGTCCTGCTGACACCGTGTCCCCACCTCGGTTCCTCTGCTCCCCATGGCAGGGCTCTCCTGGATGGTGTCCTGGACACCAGCCCAGCCCTCGGCACCCTGGGCCTCTGTGCCCTGCCAGACCCCCTTCCTCCTGTCCCAACCAGGGCACAGGGTAACTCCGCCATGCCACGCCATGCTAGCATGGCCATGCTGGACCATGCCATGCTGCTGTTGCCACCCTAGGCCAAGCCACACCATGCTGGACCACCCCATGCCATTCTATGATGGCCATGCTTGACCAAGACAGCCCCACACTACTATGGCCATGCTGGACTACCCTACACCACAGTATAATGCCCATGCTCCATACCATGCTGGACCTGGCCATGCTGGATCCAGGCCACACTGTGTTGGACTATGCCATGCCATGCTGGACCACCTCACACCATGCTATCACAGCCATGCTGGACCTGGCCATGCCGGACCACTCCACATTGTGCTGAACCACCCCATGCCATGCTATCATGGCCATGCTGGATCCAGGCCACACCACACTGACATGGCCATGCTGGACCACCCCACACTGTGCTAGACCACACCATGCCGTGCTGCACCAGTCCACACCATGCTATGATAGCCATGCTGGACCAAGACAGCCCCACACTGCTATGCCATGCTGGACCACCCCATGCCATGCTATTGTAGCCATGCTGGATCCAGGCCACACTGTGCTGGACCATGCCATGCCATGCTGGACCACCCCACGTTGTGCTGGACCATGCCATGGCCATGCTGGACCACCCAATGCTGTGCTGGACCACCCCATGCCATGCTGGACTGGCCCTGGCTGACCCAATGCACCCCATGCCATGCTGGACCACCCCACACTGTGCTGGACCACCCCACGCCATGCTGGACCACACCACTTTGTTCTGGACCATGCCATGCCATGATGGACCACCCCACACTGTGCTATCACAGCCATGCTGGACCACCCCACGCCAGGCTGGACCACCCCAAGCCAGGATGGACCACCTCCCCCTCCCCATCACGCCCACGCG